TCCAGAGCAGCGTTTTAGGATCCTCAGCTATCAGTGATTACAGGGCCAGACCCAGCCCCAACATACAACAACAAAAAAGCACAGTGCGTTACTTGGCTGCTGGATCCCTCGTAGTTGGCCGCTGCGCGATGTCTGTCCTAAGTCGCGGTGATTGTCTCTAGTCACTAGTTCATCCAACTTTCTCACTGCACTCACTATATTTACTGACACATCTATGCTTATCTCATATCTCCCTGATCTTGTGTCGTACTTATTCTTCGAACGCCACTACGTACTGTGTGGCAACACTCATAGGCCCAGTTCCCAACCACTTTCCTTCCTCGGCACTGTAACTTGCACTGTTTTCTATATTTGCTCTTCTGTCATCACCTATATTTCCTTTTTTCGGGGTTTAAGTGATTATATGCGCTGTTATGTTTGCACACACCTATATTCCACGCCCATATCCCAGTGGTATAGTCAGAAAAAAACTGCGAATTCATAAGCACGAACGTACGTGACTTCTCCACTCCACTGTATGTGCTGAGCATACTATGCATTGATGCTGATTCTTATGCGACATTAAATCCATTGTCGACGCCATTGATGAATACTATGAATTACGATGTGTCACATCACTCGGTACCCCGTGGCCTGGTGGTAAAAGCTCTCGCTTCATACGAGGAGAGTCCGGGTTCGATTCCCGGTAAAGGGGTGGAAATATTAGACATGTTTCTTTACATCGATTGTCTATGTTCATCCATCAGTAAAACTGGTACCTGGGTGTTAGTGGACTGGTGTGGGTCGCATCCTGGGACAAAACTGATCTAATTTGCTGGAAATGCTCAGCATACCAAGGGACTTTCTATATAGTAGTATATCACTGATGTCAACTATGGTCTGTATACCTTGTACTTGTACTGGTAGTGAATAAACATATTATTAAGTGCGAGAGAATAAAATCGATAATTTCGTGGTAAAAAACCATTATGGGTTTTATTCTCTCGTCCATAGGTGAATGTCTCTCCTGTTGTAGCTAACACATAATGAATGTCTCTCCTGTTGTAGCTAACACATAATGAATGTCTCTCCTGTTGTAGCTAACACATAATGAATGTCTCCTGTTGTAGCTAACACTATGAATGTTCTCTCCTGTTGTAGCTAACACATAATGAATGCCTCTCCTGTTGTAGCTAACACATAATGAATGTCTCTCCTGTTGTAGCTAACACATAATGAATGTCTCTCTGTTGTAGCTAACACATAATGAATGTCTCTCCTGTTGTAGCTAACACATAATGAATGTCTCTCCTGTTGTAGCTAACACATAATGAATGTCTCTCCTGTTGTAGCTAACACATAATGTCTCTCCTGTTGTAGCTAACACATAATGAATGTCTCTCCTGTTGTAGCTAACACATAATGTCTCTCCTGTTGTAGCTAACACATAATGTCTCTCCTGTTGTAGCTAACACATAATGTCTCTCCTGTTGTAGCTAACACATAATGAATGTCTCTCCTGTTGTAGCTAACACATAATGAATGTCTCTCCTGTTGTAGCTAACACATAATGAATGTCTCTCCTGTTGTAGCTAACACATAATGAATGTCTCTCCTGTTGTAGCTAACACATAATGAATGTCTCTCCTGTTGTAGCTAACACATAATGAATGTCTCTCCTGTTGTAGCTAACACATAATGTCTCTCCTGTTGTAGCTAACACATAATGAATGTCTCTCCTGTTGTAGCTAACACATAATGAATGTCTCTCCTGTTGTAGCTAACACATAATGTCTCTCCTGTTGTAGCTAACACATAATGTCTCTCCTGTTGTAGCTAACACATAATGTCTCTCCTGTTGTAGCTAACACATAATGTCTCTCCTGTTGTAGCTAACACATAATGTCTCTCCTGTTGTAGCTAACACATAATGTCTCTCCTGTTGTAGCTAACACATAATGTCTCTCCTGTTGTAGCTAACACATAATGTCTCTCCTGTTGTAGCTAACACATAATGTCTCTCCTGTTGTAGCTAACACATAATGTCTCTCCTGTTGTAGCTAACACATAATGTCTCTCCTGTTGTAGCTAACACATAATGTCTCTCCTGTTGTAGCTAACACATAATGTCTCTCCTGTTGTAGCTAACACATAATGTCTCTCTGTTGTAGCTAACACATAATGTCTCTCCTGTTGTAGCTATCACATAATGTCTCTCCTGTTGTAGCTAACACATAATGTCTCTCCTGTTGTAGCTAACACATAATGTCTCTCCTGTTGTAGCTAGCACATAATGTCTCTCCTGTTGTAGCTAACACATAATGTCTCTCCTTTTGTAGCTAACACATAATGTCTCTCCTGTTGTAGCTAACACATAATGTCTCTCCTGTTGTAGCTAACACATAATGTCTCTCCTGTTGTAGCTAACACATAAGTTACTTTGTAAATGCCTCTTGTTAAAGTTTCATTTTCAGTTCTCTTCTTCATAAAAAAAATTTCGATAAAGCAACCTGCATTTCATCAATATCATTTTTTCCGAACTCTGTGTTTCTGTGAACAAGGAATAACTTGGTTTATGTTTGGTCTCATAGTGCCGTCCTACATTATATTCCTGCATAACTGCATTACTTTCGTGGCATGCGGCACATAAGGACTCGAACCCTTGTTATTTTGGCCCGCCTTGTGGTGAGCGATAACCACATGATGCTCTAACCCACAGGACCACCAAATCCTACAAGAATCACGCACCCAGCGAAGCTAAGTGTTTTACTGTGATCCGCAGACATACGATGGTGTGGGTGCCTCTGAGCTCACCATGAGGTGGGCCAACACAACATAGGTTAGAGTCCTTGGCTAGTCGCAGTGTTGTTATTGATCAATACCTCTTGTTCGTGGTTACAATAATATAAAATACTGCTTGTTGAGGATACTACACCAAACGGGGAGTAGAATGAAATTAGCTCAGAGGTACCCACACCACCGTATGTCCTCGGATCACGGTAAAACACCTAGCTGTGCTGGGTGCGTGATTCTTGTAGGATTTGGTGGTCCTGTGGGTTTTCGTTCACCATGAAGCGGGCCAAAACGGCATGGGTTCGAGTCCTTGGCTAGTCACAATGTTGTATTGAGGCCGAATTGGTCAATTAGGCCTAACTACATTAAATAGTTATTTAAAATTATCTATCACTACTCCTTCCGTAGATTATCTCACGGGCCGAATTTACTGGTGGCATCGGAGGCAAATCCCTTCAATAAGATTATTTCTGTGAATGATCCCAAGAATTGTAGTGAACACAGAGTTCAGTTTGCGGGTCCCGTACAACAGCTGATAGACTATCTCTCTATTGCACTTAATTTTACGTAAGTATACCTCAAAATTGTTTGTTTATTATTAGTGATGAAATTTGCTTTTCAATAGATGTTTGCTGATATAATCTTTCCCGACTATGACGTGTTTGGATAGGTTGTACTATAGGTAATCAATGTTCAACTCTGGAATCTCTCTTGCGTGATTGGATAGTTATATGTCCATCTACGCAGATTTGCCTAATTTTAGAAGTTCTTCAGTGCTGCAGATCCTAAGATATATCAAGCAAGGCCTGATCACCACGTCTTTCTTGGTCTTCAAGTTGTGACGTTTGAGGAAGTGTGTGAGGCCGTCTATTTTGATGAGTTCCCCTTTTAATTGTTCGTCCTGTTTTGTGGGGTGATCTTCCTAAAGAGACAGTGAATCGTCAGCTTCTTCCAAAATAAATTGAAATGATATTTTAGTTTGGTTAAACTGGTCTCTGTAGTGCTGAAACAAGTAAGATTCTGGGCTGTGATGTTGTTCAAAATGTTTTTTTTTCCAAATGTTCAAAGTAAAGGTTGATCAATATCACACTTAGTGGAGTTCCCATTGTGAAGCCAAATTTCTCTCTCTCTCTCTCTCTACTCTCTCTCTCTCTCTCTATATATATATATATATATATATATATATATATATTATATATATATATATAATATATATATATATATATATATATATAATACATATATATATATATATATATTATTGAACTTTCAAGCGCTTTCGTGTTATCTCATATTATCAAGGAACAATCTGATATTTATTGGCTGCTTGCTGATGTAATATTTTTTTTTTTAGGTATACTTATGTACAGCCTCCTGATGGTATCTGGGGCGTAAGACTCAAAAATGGAACGTGGACCGGCATGTTGGGGATGGTGATGAGGGAGGTGAGTGTACAAAGGTATTTTTAAATCTTTCATGAATAACCATTATAAAGTGAATCAAATATTAATTATTCCTGTGTATGCAGTCTCTTTTGGTTAACGCTCAAAATTGGTTCCTAAACAAACCATACCACAGGTGGGGGTTTGAACCCGCGGTCAGAGAGTCTCAAAACTCCAGACTGTCGCGGTATGGTTTGTTTGCAATCGTGTCATTACGATTTCGTGAGTCAGTAGTTAAAATTGGTTCCCACTGAACAAATTAACATCTGCCGCTTCTTAAACGGATAATATACAAATTAGTGATAGCTAGCTTAATTAAATTCTTTAAGTCTTGTGAAAGGCTGGTACTACCTCACTCAAACGTGTTGCTATATATTTATTTTTAAAAACGTCAAATTATACTCTCTATGAGAATTAATTACACAAAATATTTAATGGGTGATGAATCAGTGTCATCAATTTCACATCTCCACCTTATTATATAGGAAGTAGGAATTGGTGCTGGCCCTTTCTCGATTGATGAAAATCGAGCATTGGTGGTGGACTACACTGCTCCTATACTGATAGACTACATGAGGATTCTAGGTGCTCGAGGGCTTCCTGAGGTGAATCCCTGGGGCTTCTTGTTTCCTCTGACACTGCTGGTGTGGGTAGCTATCCTGGCAACGCTGATCATTCTTGCTTTCGCGAAATTTCTCATGTCCTCGTGTATCTCTCTTAAAAGTGACAGCAAGAGGAACTGGTTTAAAATTACTTTTGACTACGCAAGAATTCTACTGCAGCAAGGTAAGTGTGTTAGTGTAATTAAAATAGTTACTCTCGTATTCCTTATTCCACTTACCACATCAACGACTATTTATTCTGGACTTTATATTTTCTGACATGGTTTCACAGAAAATTTTACTGAACCATGAGTATCTAAATTAGGGAAAGATTGCTTAGTGTATTTATCAATTTAATATTGGGTAATTCTTGATGAATAAACTGTGAGAAAATCTTGCACAAAAATTCTTGATTAATATTCAATGAAGAAACACACACACACCACCACACACACACACACACACACACACACACACACCACACACCACACAAAACACACATACACACACACACACACACCATACACACCACACACACACACACACACACACACCAAAACAACTCACACACACACACAACACACACACACACACACACTTACACACACACACATATATTATATATATATATTTTATATTTTATATATATATAAATATATATATTTAAATATATATATATTTATTTATTAACACACTGGGCCCATTCCCACAAGGCAGGGTGGGCCCCAAAAAGAAAAACTTTCACCATCATTCACTCCATCACTGTCTTGCCAGAAGGGTGCTTTTCACTACAGTTTTTAAAACTGCACATTAACACCCCCCTTCAGAGTGCAGGCACTGTACTTTTCCCCTCTCCAGGACTCAAGGGCCGGCCTGCCGGTTCCCTGAATTCCTTCTTAAATGTTACTTTGCTCACAACTCCAACAGCACGTCAAGTATTAAAAACCATTTGTCTCCATTCACTCCTATCAAACACGCTCACGCATGCCCGCTGGAAGCCCAAAGCCCTCGCACACAAAACCTCCTTTACCCCCCTCCTCCAACCTTTCCTAGGCCGACCCCTACCCCGCCTTCCTTCCACTACAGACTGATACACTCTTGAAGTCATTCTGCTTCGCTCCATTCTCTCTACATGTCCGAACCACCTCAACAACTCTTCCTCAGCCCTCTGGACAACAGTTTTGGCAATCCCGCACCTCCTCCTAACTTCCAAACTACGAATTCTCTGCATTATATTCACACCACACATGGCCCTCAGACATGACATCTCCACTGCCTCCAGCCTCCTCCTCGCTGCAACATTCATCACCCATGCTTCACACCCATATAAGAGCGTTGGTAAAACTATACTCTTATACATTCCCCTCTTTGCTTTCAAGGACAAAGTTCTCTGTCTCCACAGACTCCTAAGTGAACTGCTCACCCTTTTCTCCTCATCAATTCTATGATTCACCTCATAGACCCATCCGCTGACACGTCCACTCCCAAATATCTGAATACATTCACCTCCTCCATACTCTCTTCCTCCAATCTGATATCCAATCTTTCATCACCTAATATTTTTGTTATCCTCATAACCTTACTCTTTCCTCTATTCACTTTCAATTTTCTTCTCTTACATACCCTACCAAATTCATCCACCAACCTCTGCAACTTCTCTTCAGAATCTCCCAAGAGCACAGCGTCATCAGCAAAGAGCCACTGTGACAACTCCCACTTTATGTGTGATTCTTTATCTTTTAACTCCACGCCTCTTGCCAAGACCCTCTCATTTACTTCTCTTACAACCCCATCTATAAATATATTAAACAACCACGGTGGCATCACACATCCTTGTCTAAGGCCTACTTTTACTGGGAAATAATCTCCCTCTTTCCTACATACTCTAACTTGAGCCTCACTATCCTCGTAAAAACTCTTCACTGCTTTCAGTAACCTACCTCCTGTACCATATATCTGCAACATCTGCCACATTGCCCCCCTATCCACCCTGTCATACGCCTTTTCCAAATCCATAAATGCCACAAAGACCTCTTTAGCCTTATCTAAATACTGTTCACTTATATGTTTCACTGTAAACACCTGGTCCACACACCCCCTACTGTTCCTAAAGCCTCCTTGTTCATCTGCTATCCTATTCGCCATCTTACTCTTAATTCTTTCAATAATAACTCTACGATACACTTTACCAGGTATACTCAACAGACTTATCCCCCTATAATTTTTGCACTCTCTTTTGTCCCCTTTGCCTTTATACAAAGGAACTATGCATGCTCTCTGCCAATCCCTAGGTACCTTACCCTCTTCCATACATTTATTAAATAATAGCACCAGCCACTCCAAAACTATATCCCCACCTGCTTTTAACATTTCTATCTTTATCCCATCAATCCCAGCTGCCTTACCCCCTTTCATTTTACCTACTGCCTCACGAACTTCCCCCACACTCACAACTGGCTCTTCCTCACTCCTACAAGATGTTGTTCCTCCTTGCCCTGTACACGAAATCACAGCTTCCCTATCTTCGTCAACATTTAACAATTTCTCAAAATATTCCCTCCATCTTCCCAATATCTCTAACTCTCCATTTAATAACTCTCCTCTCCTATTTTTAACTGACAAATCCATTTGTTCTCTAGGCTTCCTTAACTTGTTAATCTCACTCCAAAACTTTTTCATTTGCTCTCTTTTTACATTGCTTCACCACTCTCTTATCCTCTCTCTTTTTCTCCATATACTCTTCCCTCCTTGCATCACTTCTACTTTGTAAAAACTTCTCATATGGTAACTTTTTCTCCCTTACTACTCTCTCTACATCATCATTCCACCAATCGCTCCTCTTCCCTCCCGCACCCACTTTCCTGTAACCACAAACTTCTGCTGAACACTCTAACACTACATTTTTAAACCTACCCCATACCTCTTCGACCCCATTGCCTATGCTCTCATTAGCCCATCTATCCTCCAATAGCTGTTTATATCTTACCCTAACTGCCTCCTCTTTTAGTTTATAAACCTTCACCTCTCTCTTCCCTGATGCTTCTATTCTCCTTGTATCCCATCTACCTTTTACTCTCAGTGTAGCTACAACTAAAAAGTGATCTGATATATCTGTGGCCCCTCTATAAACATGTACATCCTGAAGTCTACTCAACAGTCTTTTATCTACCAATACATAATGCAACAAACTACTGTCATTTCGCCCTACATCATATCTTGTATACTTATTTATCCTCTTTTTCTTAAAATATGTATTACCTATAACTAAACCCCTTTCTATACAAAGTTCAATTAAATGGCTCCCATTATCATTTCACCTGGCACCTCAAACTTACCTACCACACCCTCTTTAAAAGTTTCTCCTACTTTAGCATTCAGGTCCCCTACCACAATTACTCTCTCTCTTGGTTCAAAGGTTCCTATACACTCACTTAACATCTCCCAAAATCTCTCTCTCTCCTCTATATTCCTCTCTTCTCAAGGTGCATACACGCTTATTATGACCCACTTTTCTCATCCAACCTTTACTTCAATCCACATACTCCTTGAATTTACACCTTCATATTCTCTTTTCTCCTTCCATAACTGATCATTCAACATTACTGCTACCCCTTCCTTAGCTCTAACTCTCTCAGATACTCCAGATTTAATCCCATTTATTTCCCCCCACCGAAACTCCCCTACCCCCTTCAGCTTTGTTTCGCTTAGGGCCAGGACATCCAACTTCTTTTCATTCATAACATCAGCAATCATCTGTTTCTTGTCATCCGCACTACATCCACGCACATTCAAGCATCCCAGTTTTATAAAGTTTTTCTTCTTCTCTTTTTTAGTAAAGGTTTACAGGAGAAGGAGGGGTTACTAGCCCATTGCTCCGGGCATTTTAGTCGCCTCATGCGACACACATGGCTTACGGAGGAAAGATTCTTTTCCACTTCCCCATGGACAATAGAAGAAATAAAGAAGAACAAGAGCTATTTAGAAAAAGGAGAAAAACCTAGATATATGTATATATATATGCATGTGCGTGTTCAGTTTGGTAACAGAGCTACAGATGTCCCTCTTAACATAATGATAAATGGATCACCTATCACAAAACTAACAGAGGGAAAATTCTTAGGAATCCACCTTGATAATAGACTCAAATTTCATACACATATACATCAAATTTCTAAGAAAATTTCCAAGACTGTAGGCATACTATCGAAGATACGGTACTATGTTCCACAGTGAGAACTCCTGGCCCTATATCACTCTCTTATTTACCCCTATCTCACCTATGGAATTTGTGCATGGGGCTCAACAACAATTAACCATCTCAGACCACTAATTACCCAACAAAAGGCTGCAGTTAGAATGATAACAAATTCTCACTACAGGCAGCACACCACCAATATTCAATACACTAAACCTACTCACCATACAAAACATCCATACTTATTACTGCACCTATTACATACATAGAACACTTAACTCTGATATTAACCCTCCCCTCAAACATCTCCTTGCCAACCTCAACAGAACACATGACCATAACACAAGGCACAGATCACTCTTGATGTTCCTCGTGCCCCATCTCACACTATGCAAAAACTCAATGCACATAAAAGGCCCTAAAATCTGGAATTCATTACCTGTAAATATAAAAGAAACAAACCTGTTTATAAATTCAAGTCTCTTCTCAAAGATTACTTACTCACCCAAAACCAAATAAATACTGAATAACTGAAACATTATAAATTGTATATCTTAAATGTTTCTCACAATTATATCACATAAATGTTAAACCTAAAACCCAATCTAACTTTATTATTTTTTAAATACACTACCTAACAGAATCACTACCTAACTGAATGCAACCATATGACCTGTCTTTGTAATACTCACTTGTGCTTTATAGTTATCTGTTTTACATTAATGTTTTATCACTGATTTCATCATTGCTTAGTAGCAGCGCTGTATAGTCCTTGTGGCTTAGTGCTTCTTTTGATTATAATAATAATAATAATCATTGCTTAGTTAATCTTAAGTTAATTTTAAGCCAGCCCGTAATGCTATGCATAGTATAAGTGGCTTTGGCATACTGCTCTTATCTGTATTTTTTTGTACCTCTGTATGTGTGCACAAATTGGAAATAAATAAATAAATAAATAAATAAATAAATAAATAAATAAATAGATATGT